ATGTTCGGGTCATTCCAAGAAGGAAAACGTTGCAGCCACAGAAAAGATGACGAACATCGGTGCCTTTTGTATCTGGGTGGAGCAGGTTTTCTCTGGTCTGGTTTTGATGAACCCAAGCATCCCTGCAGCCTGGTTTGCCTGCTTGCTCTCTTGGATGCCCTTAAAACTTCTCCTTGTTGAGCAGTCAGATGCCCAGCTCTGCTGCCTTGTGAAAGGTGAGTGAAGGTGTGATTTTCATAGTGGTCTTTTCCCTGCACCACAAAGCTTTTTATACATGTTGGGAAGCCAAACTAAAATAGTAAATTGACCAGAAAACAGTTGTGGAAATTTGACCTGAAGTTAGTGAAATAAAACTCTGGAAAAGCAAGGGAAACCATAGTGCCAGCACCGGAGTGGGAAGGGGTCTGGAAATCAAACCCAGGGACTTACACACACCAGGAAGCAGGGCTGTACCACTCAGCTACACCCAGCCTCACCAAAATTTCTCAGCATTCTTGTAGTTCACATGGAGCTCCTGCACTATTCTTTACAATGCCTCAGGACTTTCAGCAGCGATCACGGAATTTTGACAAGTTTTCCTTATTGAGCCAATCTCTCTCCTTTCTGCTAAGGTTGCCCAAAGGAGACAGTGTCAAACCCACACAAACACCAGCAATCACTCTGCTTCACATAGGTATCCCAAAAAAAGGCCAAAAACTAGAATCTGCACTTACTCCCACACACACATAGATACTCATGAACACGGCCGTCTGACTAATGCCACACATTCCAGTGGCCTCAGGCCAAGGGCTTTAGACAATGGGGGCTATTTAAAATTCTGTGTGATTTCATTACTCCTTAACTCTTCTTGGTTTCCCTGCCTGAATCCCATCTCCTTAGCAGCATCTATCAGTACCGCCGGCGAATGGGCAAGGAAGGATGGATTGTGTACAGTGTCCTCCATTCTAACTCTGCTGAAGACATAAGAAAGCAAAGCAAGGAATTGGTAGAGCTTCCGCCAGGACAGCCTGCATGACCCAGGCTTAGTGAGTGACATGATTTTTGTTATCGACAAGTGGTAATTTCTTTATGTTGCCATTCCTGTTTCATAGATTGGTTTAGGATTTAAAGACCAATTCAAGGGGCTGGGGATTTAGCTCAGTGGCATAAGCACCTGCCTGGCAAGTGTGAGGTTGCGAGTTTGATCCCTGGTACCAAAAAAAAAACAACTCAAAAATGTCAACACAAGTTATAGTCAGTGCTAACGTGGTTCTCTACATAACACAATGAATGAGAAAGGTACAGTTTCTGTCCTTAGACACTTATTCTTGCAGGGACAGGCCAAGCAGAGGAGACCGTCACCCTTTTTCTGGGTCATATAAATGATGTGGGATCTGTGCCCTATGTCCCTTCCCTACCATGGACTCTCACAGAATTTAAGCCCTGAAAACTTCCCCTTCTGTTGCAAGTTCAGTCACAGAAAAATGTGCAAACTGGCTTTTTACTTTTATCTTCTAATGCCACAATCTACCCCAGCAAACCGCTGCCTGCCTTTCCTCCACATAACAGCCATGCCAGGACAATGGAAGTGGCTGACTCCGTGACTCACCCGACAGAGGGCCACTTCTGCAGACCTGTGTCTTTCCTAATTTACCTTGTGACATCCTTTGCTTGCCATTTTTAAGTAGCACATAAACAAATACCTGAGCTTTGAAATGTTTTCTCACTGAGTTTCTCACCAAAACTCAGAATACCCCAATAACTCACATCTGGTAGCTCCCCAAAGACACCCTCATCCCAACTCCCAGAATGTGTGTGTTCAGGATATTACTTGGCATGGCAAAAGGGCCAAGTGTGGTGGTAGATGCCTGTACTCCCCACACTCTGGAGGCTGAGTTCAAGGCCAGTGTGGGCTACATAGTGAGTTCAAAGCTGACCTGGGGTACACAGTGAGACCCTGCCTCAAAACAAGAAAACCTGCTACCTTTTGGGACCAGGGATGTGAGCCAGTGGTGGAGCACTTGGCTAGCAAGCATGAAGCCGTAAGTTCGATTCCAGAGGGCAAAAGTGAAAGCCTAAGACCTTACTAATCACACTCTATGGGTCAGAAATTTGGGGAAGGCTTGGCTGAAAGATCCAAGATAGCTTTGTCCACCTGCCTGGTCTTTCGTGGCTTGGCTGGAAAACTGAATACAGGTGGACCTTCCTCTCCATGTAATCTCTGTAGCACAGGGGCTGGTCATCTTATTATATTGTACATCTTCTTGAAAACCAGACACTAAAAGGATAGGATGTCTTCTCTACTTGCTCCTTTAGTCTAAGTCAACAATATATCCCAAAAGGCTCACACGTGGAAGGTTTGGCCCCCAATATGGTCACATTCAGTGGTGGGGTGTTTGGGTAATGATTGAATCATGAGGATTCTAACTTCAAGAGCAGGTTTCCCATTGATGTTTCTAATTGTCGGTATTATTGGAAGGTGACAGAATCTCAGCAGGTGGGGCTTAGTTCATGGAGTGCGTCAGGGGCATGCGCCCTTGGGCACCGTACATTTTTCCAAGCCTCTTCCTCTCTGGCTGTTTCTTGGCTGCCATGAGGTGAACAGTTTTCCACCATCACACCCTTTTCCACCGGAACGTTCCTGCCTCATCAGAGGCCTAGAAGCAATGTGGGCAGCTGACACTGGAATGAAACCTATGAAATTGTGGGCCAAAATAAAGCTTTCCTTTTATATGGTTTTCCTCAGGTATTTTGTCACAGCAACAAAAAGTTAACACAGTCTGCAAGTACTGTGACAGATTAGTAACAATGCCTGCAAATCACAGATCAAGAAAGCCACGGTGGTAATTTTTCTGACATGCTGTCTTCCTGCAACTTTCAAAAGCCACTTCCACCCACTGGCATGCAGGAAGACGCCCTCTTCCACCTACTCCAGGGACTCTTTGGAACTATCAGAGTTGGGGACGTCACTGCTACGCACTCACCTGACATTTGGGAAGCCATGGATTTCATTTCTAGTATTCCAAAACAAGTAACAACAAAATAACAATTACCTAAGGAAAGAACTCATGCTCTCTCCATCTTCATGGGCCTATGATGCAGCTCCAAACGTAGAAACACACGTATTAGGGTGTGTGTGTGTGTGTGTTTGGTTCTGGATGTTGTAGTGTTTTTTGCAGCACTAGGGCTCAAACCCAGACCCTGGCACACACTAAGCTCTGTACCCTGAGCTGCACCTACAGCCCTACAGGGTTTTCTTTTTAATTTCTGAAAATGTTAAGAATTTTTTTCCTACTTATTTCTACCGTAATGATCAGAAAACATGATCTGCAATGCCAGAGATCAGCAAAATCTTTCCATAAAGGGCCAGAACACGTATCTCACATTTTGCAGACAACTCTGTTTTTCATTTTTATTAGTACATGCTTGCAGTACACAATGATTACATCACAGGCAACTGGCACCTGCAGGTAACACATCTTATTTCTTTTTGCAACCCCTTCCTCTGTCTTTTCTCCCTCCCTCTCTTGGTCATGTTCCCAAAGTAACCCCCTTATCAAGAATCAAGGGTGGCTGTATTTCAATTAAAACATTTTTTACAAAACCAGTGTGTTGTGGGCCACCATCCCTGAGAGCACGGGGTGTATGGGCCATCGATTTTCTGGCGACTGCTAAAGGCTTGCTGCTACCTTATAGGCGAAGATTTATGATGTCTCATGCATGTTTGAGAGCCAGTTACCATCTCATCCCTGCCCTGCTCCATTTCAAGGCTTAAGTCCTAGCCACAGAAACATTTGCTTTCATTATTCTAACACCGTGACTAACAAACCGGGCTTCCACTTTGCTGCTCCCCACGGGATGATCTGAAGCAAGTTACTCATGCTTCTCACTCTCCAGTGCTTCATCTATAAACAGAGAAAGTCATACACCAACCTCCGTGGGGTGAAAACAAGCAAGAATCCGATGAGATAACTCAGGAAGCAAGTTAAGAGTGCGGGGTGGCGTGCGATCATTAGCAGCAGCAGCAGCGGATTCCTGACACTGCTCAGAGAGGCAAGTATAATTACACCCACGTTTACAAAGAAATGAAGGCTCACAGACGTTCACACGATTTGCCCAAAGCCTCATGTGTCACAACACCGGGCCCTCTACTTCTAAATCCAGCATTCCCAGCACAGAGGGAATTCCCAGGTAAAGCTATACTTTAAAACACCCTGAGCAAGCGGCTGTGAAACCCGCAGGAACCCTACACGGAAGAGACAGTTCCGGGATTCCAGCGGGCTCTTAGGGTCAGGCTGAGGAGTTGGGCAGGGGCTACATCCTGCTCTGGCTTCTCCATTGCATGGCGGTGGGGACGGGCTCGGCGGCGTCCCAGCTGCTGTAGGTGGCCCAGGCCCAGCTGGGCTCCGCATGCCTGAAGCGCTTGGAGCCTAAAAATACCCTCGCCCCGGCTAAACCTCCGGGGTCAGGCGCCAGCGGGGCGCAGTGAGGCTCGCCTGCAAATTTTCGCCTACTGGGAGACCGAGGCAGAAGGATCGCAAATTCGAGCCCAGCCCGGGGAACTCAGCAGTATCTTGCCTCGAAATAAACATCAACAAACAAGGCTGGGACTGCATCCAATCCCCAGTACCGCAAAAAATAAGCAATAAAATAAAGGCGGGCGCGTCTCCACGCAGAGCCGCCAGACCCGCCGCCGGGCCGCAGCCGCTCCAACCCGACTTTGCGATCCTCTCTCGGCCGCCGAGCGCCCTGGAGTCCCTCCCCGGCGCCGCGCACCCTGTGACCGTCACGCGGCCTCCCCCGCCCCGGCTGCTGAAGCGAGCTTGTGAACCGGCCCGGCGCCAGGCCGACAGGGGGTTGGACGCCGGAACGCCAGGGGCGGAGCTACAGGTCCGACTGCTCCTAAGCCCCCGAACTGGCGGCGCGTGCGCAGTCTCTCACCACGAGACCTTCCCGCCGCGCAGAATAGGAAGCGGAACGCCAAATCTGTCCCACGCAGCCGCCGCCGCCGCCGGGCGCAGAGCAGAACCGTCGCCGACCTAAGGCGCGCCTGCGCACGTTACCACGCACGCTCCGGCGTACGGCGGCGGCTAGGGGTCGTGAGCCGGTAGACGACCCGCGCGCGGAGGAGCCCGGGGACGCAGCACTTCTCCCCTCCCTTCCCACTCCCCTCCCCGCTCCCTTCCCCTCCCCAAGAATGTTCCGCTACGAGGTGAGCCCCGGACACCGGAAGTGACCCCTCCCAGCCCCGCGCCCCTCTTCCTCTTCGCCCGCCGGTCCGCGCCGGCGAGGGGTCGCCGCGCGGGGAGCGGGCCAGACCGGTGGGGCGCTGGAGCTGCGCCGGCGTGAGAGACGCGGTGGAGCCGAGCTGTGTGGAGCGGAGGCCGGGAGGCGCCGTCAGTGAGCCCCCTCCCCGGACCGGGCCAGGCTGTGAGGAGCGGCGCCCCGTGGGTGCCGGGCCGAGTTTCCCGCCCCAGGCCCGGACCGCCGCGCCGCTCCACCCGGCCGGCCGAGGAGGGGGCGTGCCCTGCGGAAGTCCCGCTGCCCGCGCCTGCTGACCTTGAGCGCCTCGGGCTCCTCGCGCGAGCCCGGGTTCGCAGGGTGGAGGGCGGCGGGGGGACCCCGGGGGCCGGGGCGGCTGTGGGAGGCCGAGATTTGGAGACCGGGGCCGCCGAGGGGGCCGCTGATTTGGAGGCGGCCGTTTTCTTGCCTTGTGTGAGTCGGAGAGGCAGCTGGGACGGGTAGAAAAGCCTTGGGACGGCGCTGGGCGAGGGCCTCACGGACCCAGCCTGGAGTAGAGGGCAGAGCTGCGATTCCGAGTCCGTGACCCCACGGCCGAGTGCACACGGCCGAGTGCTTCGCGGCCAGTCCGACCGTGTGTGGACGGGAGCGTGGGCGGGAGTCACTAAGAGAAAATTTGGAGAATACATGAGATGGGGGGCGGTAAAATACAACAGTTCTAAAGTGCCGTGTGTCTACGCTGTGTGCAGCAAAACCTAGCTGGCTCCTCACCTCACCGCACACTTGCTGGAGGAAGTGGTGTTTGTCTCTGCACCACGATTTAAGTTAAGGCCTAGAGAGCCTTGTGGAGCCTGAGACACAGCAGGTTCTCAAAAGATACTTAATTATTAATCAGAAAAGGGACTTCCATGGGGTTCACACTACCTGTAAGAGTGGAGCCAGAGCTTGAGCTCCCAAATCACAGTTGATTTCTGGAATTCAGCTATTTCTGTGTTATCACTGGAGTTCAGATTATAGGAAACAGGAAAGAATGGAAAATGTAAAGAAACCCTTAAACAGTAATGACATAGTTGAAAAAGTGATACCAGTAGAGGTAGGGAGATGTGAATTGTGTTGCTAACAGTGCATGAAACTCAAGCCAAGGATCATGAAAGTGTTAGTGTTAGCTGTCACTTTTCCAACCGGTGAAGTAAAAAATGTGCACTTCGTTTCTTGGGTATCTGAGAAAATACTGAGAATAGAGTCTTGATAGACTAGAGAAATGGAATGCTTGGTGGGGGGAGTTAAATGAAGTAAGAAATAGAAACTAAGCCGGGCATGGTGGCTCACGCCTGTAATCCCAGCATTTGAGAGTCTGAGGCAGGAGGATCATTGTGAGTTCAAGACCAGCCTAGACTATAAAGTGAGCTTAAGCTAGCCTGAACTACATAGAGAAACCCTGCCTCAAAAAGACAAAAAAAGAAAAGAGACATAGAAACTAAGCCAGGGATTTAGCTCAGCGGCACAAGTGCCTGCGAGCAAGTGCAAGGTTATGAGTTCAATCCCTGGTACCAAAAAAAAAAAAGGAATAGAAACTAGAAGTCAAAAGAAAAAAACTGCTAGGAGCACCCAGTGCATTAGGGACTACAGACAAAATGCCATCTTTACAGAAAGTCAGCTGACTAGGGTTGTTTCCTAAGTGGTAGAGGGCTTGCCTAACATGCAGGACACCAAGGTTTGATCCCTAGCACTGGGGGAAAAAAAATCTAGGTGACAGTAACACAATGTACCTTAGTCTTCATCCTCAGGGGGCTGAGGCAGGAGGATCACTTGAGCACAGGAGTTTGAGGTTAGTTTGGATAACAGAATTTTCTCTTAAAAAATATTTTTTAAAGTCATAATGAAACTTACATTCATTGAAAAGGGAAGATGAACTTTTCTTTTTTCAGACAAGGTCTCACTGTGTCGTCCTGGCAGACCTCAGACTTACAGTGATCCTCCTGCCTCAGCCTCCCAAGTGCTGGGATTAAGGGCCATACTGTACCACACCCAACCTTAGAATATTTTTTGAGAATGTAAATTTCACTCATGAAAGCTACTGTTTTTTTCTCTTTTCAGTCTTTAGAGGATTGTCCTCTAGATGAAGATGAAGATACGTTTCAGGGCCTTGGAGAAGAAGATGAGGAGATCGATCAGTTCAACGATGATACATTTGGATCAGGAGCAATTGGTAAGTGACATTTTTCCACTATTGTAGCACCTTGGCCTCTTAGTCTTTTCAAGTGTGTTGTCTTGACAGTGACCTCCTTCCTTCATTTGATAACATAATCTCTTCCTGATCTCAGTCAGCATAATCCACCCTTCACTTGGGATAGTTCATCCTTCTGCCTGGGGTCTCTGGGCCTCTTTGGCCTCAGGAAAACCACGGGTTCTCTAAGCCAAGAGTCCCCATGCCTGGTAGCTGCCAGGGGCCTGTTCGGACACCTGTGGTGCAGCAGGAAGTAAGCGGCAGGCATGCTGAGCCGGGAAAGCTGCTGTGTTCCCAGCTGCTCTGTCACTTGTCACCACCTGAGCTCCACCACCTGTCAGATCTGTGGCATCCCCTAGGAGCTTGAAACATACCATCACCGCACATGCAAGGGCTCTAGGTTTTGAGCCTCCTCAAATCGTCATCCCAAAACCACATCCCTGTGCCCCACCCTGAAAAATTCTCTTCTGTGAAACTGGTCTCTGATACCTAAAAGGTTGGAAGTCTCTTTTCTAAGCCCCATGTTTTGCAGCTATACGATCTGTGCTAGTTGGCCATTACCAAGGAATTCAAATGTTGAGGGAAATAGACATTTAGAAGAAATGTTCCAAGGTGTAGAAAAGTTTAATAGCAGGGTACACAATTTAAAACTAGCTGACCAGGGGCTGGGGATTTAGCTCAGTGGCATAAGCGCCTGCCTTGCAAGCAGGCAGTCGTGAGTTCAATCCCCGGTACCGATAAAAAGGAAAAAGACAAAAAAAAAAAACTAGCTGACCAATGGGAATCCAGAGTCTGGTAAGGGTGCATGGGTGTTTGACAATTCAGCCATCACTGCTGTGTTGCATAGCCATGGCAGTTATCTTAGAGCATCTTCAATGAAATAGGAAGCTTATGGGACCTGGCGCTGTGGTGCTAGGAAGGCTTCATGTGCTATGCGTCCCTAGAAACCTAAGTTTCCCATTCCTAGATACGGAAAAGAGCAATAGGAGTCAAAAAGAGTAGAGGAGCAAAACTGAACTCAAAGCCAGAGTGTGAGTGCCCAGGTGAAGAACTGAAGAAGCAATCGTGTTTGATGAAATTTGAGAAGAAAATTTACTTAGAACAACTTTGGAGCAAGTGGACTAATAAATTATGAACTTAAAAAACTGAGTAGGCTGATTTCACTTTAACTCTTGGCTTCAGAATGCTGCTCTCTCCATGTTTATGTCAGGCTGTGTGAGTGTTTTCCTTGGAACCATAGTCCTTCCATCCACACAGCCAGTACTCAGAGTGAAACAGTGAGCCAGAGGAGAAATGTCAGCAGCATGAGTGACTCCAGAGGTTCTGTGGCAGAAGCCAGCATTGTCAAGTACTCCCGGGAGCTGGCCGTGCAGTGCCTGAGCAGCCTTAGTTTGCCAACCCTTGCATGGAGACACATGAATGGGTGAAGACAAAAATGTCTGCAGCCGTCAGCCTTTTACAGGATTTCAGAGCAAACTGAAGCTGTCCCAGTGCAAAGGAACAAGAGAAATGTTGCACGTGGAAGCGAGCCTCATTGCAGAGGGAAGAAAAGACACTGGGGTGGAGCCCTAGTTTAGGAAGCTAGGTGTTTCAAGAGGAAGGTAGGACCCCAGGTGCCATGTGCTCTCCTGGGAGACCACAGGGCAGCAGTGCAAAGCAGAGTCACAACATAGGCGGCTATGAGCAGGCGCAGTCTGTATTTTGGAGATCGTTCAGTAATAATTTACAGGATACAGTCATAGCTACAGGTTGCATGTGCTTGTCTTGGACTCTTTTTCTGTTAAATACTCTGCTGAAGGTTACCACTTTTCAGCAGACCCTTTACTAGTCAAAGGAAGCAGACTAGAGTGACTTACAGGTGTGTACCGTATTAGGATCAGATGGCACGGTTTCTAACCTGAGCAGGAAAGGCTTGGTCTTGCTTTCTCACTGACTTTCCAAAGTACTGGTCTCTTTCTGTTTGTTTTTCCTCATACGCTGGCAGTATTGGACTTAAAAGGGTGAGGCAGCGTATAGAGCTGTATTTTATATGAGAAGAAAGTATACACAGGTTAAAAAGCTCTTGAGTCCTCAGGAAGAATAGGTAGTGAAAAAGATATGTGTGACCAAATGATATAGCAATGGTTTTTTTTAAAAGTTTTTAAGTTTATTACAGTAGCAGACATACTGCCATTAACTCTATAAAGCGCCCCTTCATTTTGGACACACCCTGTTGTCCTTGTCACTTTCTGAAGCAGTTCTGGAAGAGCTTGTACGTGTCTCTAAGAGGTGTGATCAGAAGGGCCGTGAATGCTGCTGCTACATGCTGCACAGTGGAAAGGCTGCTCATGACAGCATCACAGGGAGTCTTCGTCCACATTGTTCACCAGGGCTGGCACACTGCTTAACCTCCAGTTCTTCCCCAAAGTCAAAGTGACCATGAGAAGTAAACATTTCGGGTTAATTCAGGACAATGAGGCAGCCACATGGTGTTGCTGAAGATCCTTAGGAAAGGGGATTCCAGAACTGCCCGGGAAAGTGTCAGGAGCAATAGGAAGAATACATTCACAGGGAGGAGAATGTATTGAGGGGATTGATGCCAAGGTGTCTTTTACTGTGATAAATCTTTTAATTTGAAATACTTAGTGTATTTTCCAGTCACTCCAAATACGGTTTTCTCACTTTGTAACCTGGGACAGAAAAGTGATGAAGAAGGCCCTCTTGGCAGGCACCTCAGTGCCTTCCTATAACGGCAGCTATGCAGGAAGCCAGCCTGAGCAACTTAGTAAGAGCCTGTCTAAAGTACAGAAGAGGATGCAGCTCAGTGTGAGGCCCTGGGTTCACCCTACTTCTGCAAAAGTATAAATAACACATACATAGTTCAATGTAAAAGTGCTTGCCTAGTACACATGAGGCAAAGCTGGAGTTCATTCCTGGCCTCCCACCCAGAAAGAGGGCTTTTTGATTAACAGAGTTAATAATGGAGGAAAGATTGCCAAAGGGGAACCCTTGCCTTTGAGAACTTTAAAGTAAAAATCTTGGTTCCTTATACTGTCTTGCTATCAGTATTATTTTAACTATTGCTGAGTCAGCCCGTGGCTTGCTGGTACACCTTTGCAGGTACACACCTGTGTAGGGTAAGCCAGTAGACAGAATACTAGACTGCTGACTTGTGTGATGATTTTATTATTTTTGATTGATGGAGTAGGCATCTTGAATACCTGTTAGTGCAGCTGATATTTTAGATCACTGGCGTCACCTTTCCCTAAGAAACCAGTCATTGTCTTCTGAATTTAAAAAAAAAAAAATTTGCACCATCTCAGGGCAGCAAAGCATTGCTGTCCTCGCTGCTGGTACTCTAGAAATGCCTGGGGTCTATGACATGTTCATGTATACCATGTATTGCTAGCACTCACAGCAACCTCATGAGGTGAGATACTGTTGTCACCCTCCTTCCAACAGACAAGGAAGCAGAGTGACCAAGAGGCCAACTAACTATAGTTAAAGTGAACTTGGAATCATGTTCGGCCAGTATTTAGGGAATCTGGGCATCTGCCTCTGCTGAAAAGGACCTAACCGGCCTTAAAAATCCAATCATGTCTACTTCGTTTTGTTTTGCGTTTATTGAAGCATATCCCAAAGATAGGTTTCCAGGGGCAATGTAGTATAAACTTAGAAAAGCCAAAAATCCAGCAGCTCACACAAAGGTGCAAGTGAATTAGTGGATGGAACACAGATACTTATTTCCCTTCATTTCTCTGTTGTTCTTTAGCCTTGCTGCATCATTTTCAACAAAATTAATTGAAGTCACTGATGTTAAGTCATTTGAAGCAGATGCAGGGTGAAATATTTTCCAGCAGAGGGTGATTTCTCACTTTCTGCCTCAGATGGTTTTCACAAGAGCAAAAAAAGTTGGAACTGATGATGACAGTGTTTTTATTTATTTTTTTTTTTTTTATCGGTACCAGGGATCGAACTCACGACCGTCTGCTTGCAAGGCAGGTGTTTATGCCGCTGAGCTAAATCCCTAGCCCCCGATGACAGTGTTTTGTGACACAGATTCCTCTGTTGGGTGTTTGGAGATAGCAGCCCATGCCCAGTTGATCCATGTGCACAGGACATGACCACAGTGTTGAGTGTTTTTAAAACATTTTTTCAGCTAGCTGCATTGGTGCACACCTGTAACCCAGCACTTTTGAGGGTAAAATAGGCTGTGGCCCACTTAGGCCACATTGCAAGACCCTGTCTGAAAAACAACCCTTCTGTTTCTGTACTGGGCCTTCACACTGTGCTACGTCCCCAGCCTTTTTATCTTCTGAAGTAGAGTCTCACTGAATCACTGAACTACCCAGGCTGGGCTCAAACTCATGATCCTCCTGCCTCCAAAAGTGCTGGTGTGATAGACATCACCACACTTGGTTTTCACGTTAGTTTTAAGAACAGATGATGTTTAGTAGGATCTGGTGAAGTTAGCCCACATGAATGTAGGAAGTGGTAACTGAAAACAGGTAACGTAGAACGTTACTACATAGGAAGCAGTAAATTAACAAGTTAACTGTGAATTTGGGAGATGTAAAACAAAAAAAGTAGAACTGCAAAGAAGCAGCAGTTTGTCCTTTCTCAGCTTACTAAGGATGACACAGATATGAATGTCTGGAATGATTTTTAATTATACTGTTCCTCAAGAGCATCACAGATGCCTGGGATTTAGCTCAGCAGCGTAAGCACCTGCCTGGCAAGCATGATGTTGCAAGTTCGATCCCTGGTACCAAAAGAGAAAAAAAATCATCACAGATGACCAGCATTTAAATGAGCACTGATTTCCATGGAGAGGGGTTTTTTTTCCCCTTTATGAGCACATCAAAGTGTACTTGTCAAAGGCCATTATAACACAGTTACTACTTTTAAGTTCTTCTTTGTGAAATGATGTTTCCGAGTGCCACCGACTAGGCACCTGGATCAGAGAATGCTGTTGGGTAGGGAAGGAAATCCCGCGTGATAAGAGAGAATCCCAGAGGCTCGCATGGTTGTAGCATTGGGTGCCTGCAAGACTTTCCTCTTGGACTGGAGCATAGCCAGTGTGTCCCGTCCACTGCAGAGCTGGGCCAGTGTGAGTCCTGAGATACCAATTCTGAATTTGAAAGTCCACTTTCCTTATTTTTGATCACTAGAGCTCCACAACACATTATTACCGGAAAAAAATAGCAAATGTAAAATGCTCACATTCTGGCCCTTGAGAAGGGACCAATCTATTTATACATTGGCTTAGGATTCTAAGATAACAAATAATGTTCAGTTGTTGGGTTGAAAAGTTGCAAATTATCCAAACATTTTCCAGTATGAAATAAATCACATTTTCAGTAGATTAGAATCATGCCTAGGTGTTAAAGAAAACAAAACAAAATAAGATCGGTTTTATCTTGTACATGTCTGTGTATACATATATTACTTAAATAAAAAGCTTTCAACGATTTAGTTTGTTTTTTGAGATAGTCTTGCTCTTGAGTTTAGGTGCTGGCCTCGAACTCACTTTGTTGTCCAGGCTAGCCTAGAATTCACAGGGTCCTCCTGCCTCAGCCTCTGGAGTGCTGGGATGACAAGTGTCCAAAACCATGCCCAGCATAATTTGGGCTGATGGGGAACTTCTGCATTGTAAGTTATATGTTATTGTGATGTAAATCTCTGACCACATCAGAGCTTCATCAGCTCCCCAGTCCAACCTGAAAAGCCTAGGAAACCCTAAGGGAGCACCTTCCTCCTGGCTCTGCAACCTCATTTTGTTGTGTACTCCTCTTGCTTGTTTCCTTCCCAGGTGAACAGTCCTGGCTGGCTGTCTCCCTGAGGCCCTGGCCCTGACCACTCTCTGCCACTTCACTTGGTCTTTGAAACTCACTCGGGTATCATCTTCTCAGTGCAGCTTCCTCCTGGTCATCAGAAGTTTTCAGTTTACCTTTCTCCCTTTCATCTTCTGAGGGAGTCACTAATTATTCATTATTTCATTACCTTGATGAGCAAAAGTTAGATAAGGACACAGTCCTCATTTCACATAGTGCTTCCCATGTAGTGGGTACATGCCAATTAGTAACTGAATGAAATAAACAGGAAAAGGCTGTGTCATTGGCAGTTACAACATAGAAGAAAGTTGTATACCAGCAGTATGGTTTTCTGCTCTTTGAATTTATTGCCTGAAATGTCACCAAGTCTCAGCCAGCCACCAGCTTAGTTCAGACCCCACTGATCATGTTTCAGGCTGCGGGTCCAGGTTTTTGCATCCTACTCCAGGTGCACCTTTGCTCTCAGTAAGGAAAAGCCCACCCCATCATCCTGCCATTTGACTGACTCCATGCATGTCTCCAAGCAAAACTTGAGCTTTCCACTCATGCTCCAGATTTGGGACATCTGTTGGATTAATGGGAGAGTTCAGAAGCCTTTCTGGTTTCAGTGTCACGGGTTGTGCTGTCTTACAGACGATGACTGGCAGGAAGCTCACGAGCGCCTGGCTGAGCTGGAAGAGAAGCCGCCCGACGCCCTTAGGGAGCAGACAGGCAATGGAGAAAGGGACGAGATGGACTTGCTGGGGGACCATGAGGAGAACCTGGCCGAGAGGCTCAGCAAGATGGTGATTGAGAACGAGTTAGAGGATCCAGCTATCATGAGGGCAGTGCACACCAGGCCAGTTTTACAGGTAAGTCACCCTGACTTTGAGAACTGTGGTACTCATTAAACTGTTACACTGGTGCAAGCTTTAGTGGACTGTTCAGCTGTTAAGCTTCACCTTTACAAATTACATATGCCAGAGAAAACTGATAATCCAGTGTCCAGTGAAAGCAATTGTAGAAGATGAAGTTGGAAAGTCTTGAGTACCCTGTAGCCCTATAGTTCCTTCCTCAAGCAGTTGAGGTTCTTCTGGGCCTCTGATCCCCCCAGCGAGTGAGTCGTTCTGATTGCTGCACAGTTCTAGACTTGTGTGCCTGTGTTCCTTTTTTGGTAGCCGCAGCCAGGAAGTCTGAATTCCAGCATCTGGGATGGATCCGAAGTCCTGAGGCGAATCCGCGGACCGCTGCTGGCTCAGGTATTACACAAACATGTGTCTTTCTGTAACTTGACAGCTGTAAAGGTTCAGTGGTGTCTGGCATACCCTTCCTTGCTGTAAGAACACATCAGTTTAGGTCCTTTGCCAGGGGTACATTCCCCCTGCCCATGCTTGGCACACCCTACAGTCCCTGGATGAAGTTGAGAGGGCACTGCTGGGGCTTCTGGGATGGGGTCTGAGTTAGCTAATGAGTCTTGGCAGAACCATAGGGACAGAAGAAGTAAGTGCTAGCCAGTGACTGGATGTGGTGCAAGTTGTTGACTGTAGAAGGCCAATGCATGGGCATTCGGCAAGTGTGAAACTCTTCTGTATCATTATTATGGTGGCAGGCCCATTATTCTGTGTGTTTCACCAAACTCTGAATTGTGTACTAAAGAAGGGAATTTTCCTATATATATATTGGAGAAAAAACTGTTAAATAACTACCCAGTGTACTTTGGCATCTGTAGAGATTATCAGTAAAGCATTTCAAGTACTCATTCACTTAGCTTGTTAACCACTTCCTCGATCAGGACATGCCCGCGGTGTCTGTGTTAGAGTATGCCTTGCCTCCGAGGCCCCCACAGGGTCCGGAAGATGAGCGAGACCCCTCTGAGCGTGCACTGCCGCGGCGGTCGACATCACCCGTCATCGGGAGTCCCCCTGTGCGAGCAGTCCCCATTGGCACCCCGCCCAAGCAGGTGGCTGTGCCCAACTTTAACCAGCAGGTACCTCTCCTTAACAGGCACCCAGCCCAGGCCAGCGGGAACCTGGGCAGGGTCTCATGGGCCATGGGCAGTGCGGGCGGAGGGTGGAAGGCTCAGGTAGGCATTATATTAGGCAGAAGAGTAGCCGTTAGAGAAATTAGCCCAGCTAGAGACAGCCCCTAGCAACCTTCGCTGCTGCTGCTGCTGCCGCCGCCGCTACTGCCACCACCACCTTTTCAGTGGGGGAGAATGAGGGTAGTTACCACGGTTAGAGCAGAGTCCGTTTTTGAACTGTTTTTCTGGCTGCCCTATACGTTGGCAGGGAGAAAAGCGAAAGCTGGGGGGAGTGGGAACTCTCAGCATTGTCCACGTCCCTTTTTACCTTTAAGATATCCCTGCTTTCCCTAGAGCCTGTGCAGTCCTGTTCCATAGACTTCCCTCCACCTGAACCAGCAGCTGGAAAGGAAGGCCAATTTGGAAGGTATGGGGGGAGGGCGGGGTCGGTACAGCCAGTCAGGCTCAGCGCCCCGACATGGTGGAACCCTGGCCTAGCAGGCAGTGCTGAGCATGGCGGCCAGATCCCAGAGGCTCCTGAGTAGGGCATAGTTAATCCTCCAGCTTTCTTACTATTCCTTTCTCCCTTGCTGCTACTGCAGTCGATCCTCTTAAGAGAGTCTACAGTTCAGGACATCTGCTGGCATCCCTCAGACAGTGTGGAAGGGTGGGGACAGCTGGAGAGCCGGCTACGTCTTCCTCTATTAATATGCCACCTTGCTGGACCAGTGAGGAAGTGAGCAGAGGCTCCATGTTTGAACTCTTAGCCAGAGCGATCCGAATAGACTTAGGGCTTTGGCGTTGAGGTGTCGCGGCCAGGACTTGGGGGGAGGGCTGTAGGTGGAAGAAAAGCTGATTTCATTGAATGTAGTTGTATATATGTTTGTCCCGATAGATCCTGTGTCCGAAGCCTGTCCACGTGCGGCCCCCAATGCCACCACGTTATCCTGCTCCCTATGGCGAGAGGATGTCTCCCAACCAGCTCTGCGGTGTCGCGGTGCGTCCCCTCATGGCCTGACGCGGCCATGCAGGGCTCATGCTATGGTCCCTGCCCATATGATCCGTGTTAGGACAGAGAAGCTCTGATGTCTCCCAAATGTCATTTTCCTTCTTTTAAAAACCAGTCTCTGTTTGAATCTCTGTCTCCAGGTCAGAATGCACAGTTCACTTGTTTCTTTAGTCTTTCCTGTAAAACAAACAAAGCTTATTCTCTTCAGTCTATTTCCTGCTACTTCAGTTTCTCAGTCTTTTGCTTTCTTGTTTTACAGTCACAATTTCTAGTATTTCCTAATATCTAGCGTTTTTTTTTTTTTATATTCATTCAGTAGAAAGCTACAGCTTGAGAGTTTTCCCATCTAAGTTTCTACTGCACTTCTAAGAACCTTCCCTGTTCTGTTTCATACTGTGGATGTAATTTTCCCTTTTTTTTTTTTCTTTGTAGAATTCTTCCCTCCTGGGTCCCCCTTTTCCTGCTAGTGCTCCTGCTGTTCTCAGCCCCCTCCAGAGAGCACAGCTTCTTGGAGGAGCTCAGGTGAGCCTGCGCCGGGCAGTGCAGGAAGGAGCTTGCCTGTGGGCCTCGGTGTCCACAGACATGTGCTGGCTCTGTAGTGGTTGCTACTTGTGCTTTTCACACCAAGTTGTTCGTGGAGACAGTCTTGGCTCTGCTGTGGTTCAGAACAGGGGGATTGTAGCTGGATCAGATCTGAGATCTTGTCCTCTTGTAGCTACAGCCTGGACGGATGTCACCCAGCCAGTTTGCACGGGTCCCTGGCTTTGTCGGGAGCCCACTCGCTGCCATGAACCCCAAGCTGCTACAAGGGCGAGTTGGGCAGATGCTACCCCCAGCTGCAGGCTTCCGTGCCTTCTTTGGCGCCCCACCCCCCACCACGCCACCTCCGCACCCGCAGCAGCACCCACCTGGACCAGGACCTCATCTGCAAACCCTACGGTATGGAAGCAAACCCTGCGCTTAGGGTTCCCATGGAGAAGAAGCCTCTGGGTATTTGCTGACTGAAGTGGTTTTGTTTTTTTGTTTTGTTTTTTATTTAAAAGGGAAAAGAGAAAAAAAGCAGAACAAAACAAAACAGTGTAAGGGTACAAGTAATTCAGAACTACCAAAAAAAAAAAAAAAAACAGCTATCACCAGTTAATAGATTACTCACTATCATCTTAGAAACAGTATTTCAGGTCACAGGATCAAAGCACACAAAGTGAACATTCAAACAGTAAGACTTCGAACCATTGTGTTCAGTAATCCAATCAAAAATATTAATATGGTCTTCTATGTAACACACCTAAACACCCTTGCTGTTGTATCCTTCAGGGCACTTTTCTTTCCCTCTCTTTATTTCAACAAAATTTTGAGAAGTTTCTGGATCTTCCACTTGGCAATCAGGAAAATGTTGGAGAGTCAGTAGGCTTTCTTATCTTGCCCTCAACAGTCTCCTGCTATCACTATACATGCGTACATTACCAGTTAATTACCTGTTACCTCCTTAAAGTTATTTCTGTATCTCCCTTAGCATTCACCTGACAGATCCACATCAAGGTGCACACAGCACTGACTGATGCAGAATGACTTGTAACCAAGGAACTGAGATAACAGTGCTTAGAGCTCTGCTAATCTCCACACTAGCCAGCTGCTCTCTTCTGCCCTCTGGTTTTATGAGGGGCACGAGGTCCTGCTCTCAGAAACTGTGTTTTGTTGTATCTAATTCTCAAGAGAAACAACCAACAGAAGATACATAAATAGAGTTTACTTTAAGGAGTTGGCTCATGGGATTCTGGAGGCTAACAAGTCATAAATCCACAAGCAGGCAGTGGAAGTTGCAGGCTTGAGTGTGTAGGCCAGCAGGCTGGAGGCTCAAGCAGGCTTGAGTTTCAGTTGGTGCAGAATTTCTCCTTCAGAAACTCCGTGTGCTCTTAAAGCTTTTAAGGGACTTGGCACACGGTTGAGGACTGGAGGGTCGTCCCTTCCTCTGAAAGCCAGGTAATGATGAATGTTAATCTTGCGTAAAATGCTTTCATAGCACAGCTGAACCAGGAGCTCATCAAATAACTACATCCCGCAGCATAGCCAGGCTGACATGGAATTAACTCTCAGCCACGAATTTTCTCTGTCATTCTCATGTAGTTAAAGATGAGTATGTTAAACCTGTTAAGATATTTCTATTAAACAGGTGCCCTTTCCCCAAATATCTTATTACTGTTTACTACCAATTCCCTGAAATTCCATCATCATCCTCTTAGAAGTAGAGAGTTGGTCTTTGTGAGAGACCTGTGAAAATTGTAGCCATTTTGCTGTAAAAGTCTTTTGAATAGGCTCTTGTCTGATCCTGAGAGCGAGCCTGTGTACAGTTACTGTATGCTGACCACCTTCCAGAGCTTGCGCACCTTCAGCACGGTGGAATCGAGAGTCCGGCTTCCTTTCCCCTAGATCTCAGGCCCCAGTGTTCCGTGCAGACACGACCCACCTGCACCCCCAGCACCGGCGGCTCCTGCACCAGAGACAGCAGCAGAACCGAAAGTAAGTGCTCGTCATACCCCTTCATGTTCCACAAGGTACTGTCACCATACTGTATTTGTTTCATATGTTTACTTAACATGGAGCTTGCTTTCCTGGTAAGTTTGTATCATAAATGCTGTCTTGTGTTTTTCATATACTACTTTCTTTTTTTTTTGGTACTGTGAATGGAACTCACAACTGTGTCATGCTTGCCAGGCAGGCGCTGTGCTGCTGGGCTATATCCTTGGCCTTGATACACTGCTTTCTAATTAAAAATCCATTGGTGAAGTGCCAGCCTGTCACAGTTCTTTTGATCATAAATCAGAATTAAGGTTGAGCTGTGATTGTTTTTTGTTTTTTGTTTTTTTTCCTTTTCTTTTCCTCAGGAAACATTTTATCCGTCAGGTTTCCTACTCAGGTCTCGTGTGAATCCTGTGGTTGTCATTCTTTTATTTTTACCTCAAATTATATAATGCTTATTCAGTAAGTATAAATACATACTTATGTATGCGGCCCCAGCTGTGTACCAGACGCTGTGATAGGTTTTGAGGATTAAAAAAGAACAGGACAAGTAAAGCCTCTGCCTTCATGGGTCTATATAAAGTAATTCTATTACTATGCAGCTATATAAAATACACTAGACATAACTGTGAGGTTTCTTCACCCACTAATTTTATTTTTCTGTGAGTATTTCTCACTTTCAGAAATATCTTGGAATTACATTTGCAGGGGAAAAAAGAGGAACCAGCATGGAGTCTTATATAAGACTCAAAAAGTGCAGACTACATGAGAAAAGAGTAATATGTTTGATAATGTTAAATATTAGCCCTCTGCATAATGAAAGTGTACACAGATATGGAGCTCGTGGTGGGAGGAACCCAGGTGGCCTGTAAAGACGGGAGGGCGTTGACACTCCTCACACTGAGAGCGTGCACCATCCGCAGGTGAAGCTCCATGTGTCTCACCACTTGTCTTGAGCAAATTCGGTGATAGATAGTAAAAGCTGAAAATGTGGCTGTCCATATCCTAGCAGTTCCACTTTTCAGTGTGTGTTAGGTATATTAGAAACGTCACTATGAAAAGTGTAACGTTGACTAAAGAAGCAAGGAGCAGATTTCTATCTCCTGCTGTTGATGTGAAATATAAATCTAGGGCTGGGGATTTAGCTCAACAGCATAAGCGCCTGCCTTGCAAGTGCATAGTCATGTGTTTGATTCCCAGGACCAAAAAGAAAAAAAAAAAGGAATGTAAATCTGTACAGAACAGTAATAGGTCTTAGTGAAAGACAGGTGCATGAGTAATGTGGGGATAAAAACACTTCAGGGAAGATTCTTGCATGGTAGAAAGACAGGTGCATGACTGACTTGCTTGTGCACGTGTTTTGGGGAAGATTCATGTCCTGGACAGTATGTTGTTTGCTCTGTAATGGTGCCAAGCTTAGTACCCAGCATGTCTGAGGCCCTGGCTCCCATCCCCAGCAGCAAAAGGAGAAGCAGAGAACTGCAGCGTGGAGGATACAAGAGGAACATCAGGGGCTGGGGATTTAGCTCAGCGGCATAAGCACCTGCCTTGTAAGCGTACAGTCATGAGTTCGATCCCTGGTACCGATTAAAAAAAAAAGAGAGAGGGCCTTCAACTGCAGACAGTGGAGGGTGTTACCTTAAGGCTGTTGGAAAGTGGAGCAGATTTGCCCAGGTTTTTCCATTAAGCCTGTGTAATAGGTAGATAGGTCCTGATTTTCAGAGAATACTGTACAGATCTCACAGTGGGATCTATGCTGAACCCACTGCCCCAATCCCCTGATGGCTCCTGGCTGCAGCTCATTAGACCTCGGTGGAGCAGGTTACACTTTGTGTCCCTGGTTAGATTCAGTTCTTTTCATTCTTAGCAAAGGCAAAGAAGAATTCTTTTCGTTGACCCTTTTTATTCCTGAATTGCTAAAAGACATGGTCCCCGTGCCCCATGGGGTAAGCACGTCTTCTGTGTGTCTTCCAGTCAGCATCGGAACCTCAACGGTGCAGGGGACAGAGGAGGGCACCGGAGCAGTCACCAGGATCAGCTGCGGAAGGACCCTTATGCCAACCTCATGCTGCAGCGGGAAAAAGATTGGGTTTCCAAGATCCAGATGATGCAGCTGCAGAGCACGGACCCCTACCTGGATGACTTTTATTACCAGGTGAGCTTCTACAGGAGCCTGGAATTGTGCTGAAGCAGCCTCGGCAGGTCCCATCATCAGCTGAGAGTGGAAGCTCAAGTTGCGGCTCAGCAGTGTTTCGGTTCCTCCAGCATCAAGAATCTTGTTCATCTGATGAAAGATGCTGGCAAGTCTTAACTGATGACCCTTCCATTGCATCACATTTTTAAAGGTCGTAGGCTTTGGGGGGACTTCTATGTATTTTAACAGGGAAGACCGCAGTACTGTGAGCCCTTGGCTTCAGTCATGCTGACGGTCAGCTACGCGTGTCCCAGGCCAAAAGCTAGGGAATTTATAGCAGACTAACAGAAGTTAAACATAGGGCTAGGGTTGGAGAATTTGTCGTTAGCGTTTCTTTTTTATAAACGTCTTCCTGTATGTTCTTTTTGTTGGTACGTTTTAGATATATGTAATCATAACATTCATTGTGGGTAGAGTTTCAAGTAAGGAACATCAAGGGTGTGTGTCCCCAAGTCATGGAGGAATGAGCCACAGATCAGTGGTAGAGAGCTTGCCTGTTGTATACAGTACCCTGGGTTCCATCCTTTACCCTACAGAGTGAAAAATTAAATATGCACGTGTTCAGAGAGGAAGTTGTATTACTGCTGCAAGTATAAATGAATGATGTAGTGGTAAAGAACAGCTATGGTCTCTGCATGTTCCCTCTCATGGTTCTTCTCCTGTGGTAGAATTACTTTGAGAAACTGGAGAAACTGGCAGCTGCTGAGGAACTGCATGGTGATGGCCCCAAGAAGGAGCGCACCAAGCTCATCACCCCACAGGTGGCCAAGCTGGAGCACGCCTACAAGCCAGGTGAGGGCTGGGCTGGGGCGAAAAGGCCTGAGAGGTTGCGTTGTACCGCAGTGCCGTCCATCTGTGGGCGAGAGCAGTGCTGAGATGACTTGCAAAGCACCACTGTCCTTGATAAATGCAAAGACAAACTTTTATTTGAGCAGAGGCTGAGTGGCTTACCTGATGACCTCTAGTCCTTTTCTACTTGAGAGTCCATGATTTTCTTAAACCTATTATAATTTGAGCTACCTCTAACATAGGTAAGGGGGAGTACTTTAGATTTTTTCCTGTATTATTGCAACCAAAAAATGTGAAAGGGTAAACTATTAAGCTACTGATCAAGCACTGAGAAGAAGCTGGCCTTTAATGGTGCCCTCTGACGTTGCTCAGTTTCTCTGCGGCTGGTGTTTCTGTCCTGCAGTGCAGTTCGAGGGCTCTCTGGGAAAGCTCACTGTCTCCAGCGTGAACAATCCTCGGAAAATGATCGACGCGGTAGTGACATCCCGGACTGAGGATGATGTAAGTGAGAACGTTTGCATTTTTGGAGCGTCTGGCTTGTTACCCGCTATTCTGGGGTCACTGCGGGCTAAGCCCAGCGGGAGCTGTGTGGTCTGAGCTCACACATCCGTCACTCCGGTTATCACAGACATGTTTGGTGCTCGAGCCTCTATTTCTGCCACAGCTGGTCAGGGCCTGGGGCAGCAGCACCAGTAGACTGCCTGTACCAGGCACCTAGCAGCATCTGTTGACTCCAAAGACAGTTACTACTGTATTTCCTGTGTGTGTTTGGTACCGGAATCCAACTCACAACTTCACCCTTCCCAGGCAGACACTATGCCACTGAACTGTGTCCCCAGTCCTGTAGTTGCTGTGTTTTCAGATTTTCCCATGATGCCTTCCCTCCCTGCATATCTCTGAGTTCAGTTTATTAGTTTGCAAACCCCTTGATCCAGTGAACTCTGTGGCCATTGTCCACACACAGAGTTTTAGATCTGTGAAGCTATAGAAGGTCACAGTCGTTTTCATACCTTGGCACTTTCACAGTCAAACCTACAGATGCATGTTTAGCTATTTGTTCTTGGCAGGGGCAAAGTTTATAATGAATATTCTTTTGTTTTGTAGGAGACAAAAGAAAAACAAGTTCGAGACAAGAGGAGAAAAACACTTGTCATAATTGAGAAAGTAAGTTTCAGAAGCTGTTGCTCGGGTTTCAAATGAGAAAGTATCCCTAAAACGTGGGGCCCAAGCTGTGAGGCAACTTGGCTCAATCTTAGTGAGGTACAGACTCCCATGCACACCCGTCCTACACCTGCAAGACGTAGGGCACCTGCCAGTGGCATGGGGGGAAGAGCACTGTGGTTCAGATTAGACCTGTCGGGGTCTGGTTCGGAACCATTCCGATCATCCTTGGGAAGGTCAGCTTTCTAAGCCTGGTAAAATGGAAATAAAAATTATATTGCTTTGCCTATTGATGAAGTCAGGTGAGCTCACAGGTACATATTGGACATTTCCTGGTACAGAGAGAAAAGGTAATACACATGCACATGTATATATACACATTTAGCAGTTGGTTTGGGCACTTTTATTTTTTGTGGGAGTTTTTTGTTTTTGCTGGGTTTGAGACAGGTTCTCACTGTGTGGCTCAGGCTGGCCTTGAACTCACTGTGTAACCCAGGCTGGCTTCAAACTCAAGGCAATACTCCTACCTCAGCCTCCCAAGTGCTAGGATTGCAGATGTTTGCCACCACATCCAGCTTGGCAGTTGCTTTATAAAATGTAAATACCACCTTGGAAAACCATAGAGCATATTATATTAGAACCATGAGTCCCCAGGTTAGAAATCATGTTTTTTCTGTTTCTAAGTGACTCTGTGACTTAGGGTGAGTGGCGGTTCTGTTTTGCCTTCTTGTTGCTTGCTAGTGTGGTACAAGCATAGAGCTAAGGGCCTTCACCGCGAGCCACTTCCCCAGCCTGTTTTTGCTTTGGAGACAGAGTCTTGCTGAGGTGCCCAGGCTGGGCTTAAACTTTTGAATCCTCCTGCCTCAGCCAGCCATGCACTGCAAGGCCTAACTTTTAAGAGGCAAGGGGCTGGCTCTTGCTGTCCTCAGCTTCTCCCTCTGTAAAAATGCAGATGCTGATGCATTTTTCTCCCAGAGGGGCAGTGACTACCCAGGGAGGCCTGCAGAGCACTGGCACCACAGTGACACCAGCTCTCTACCCTTTTGTAGATGCAGACTGTCCTTGTGCAGTTACACAGGGTACCCTTACAGTGCTATGTTGCTGCCTTGCTGAGAGGCAGTTTAGAAAGTAATTATTTCACTGTCTTCAGCTGCTAGATTAGGTCAGAAATGGATGGAGAATGGTGTCTGCAAGACTCGTATAAGCTGCAAGTTCGCTGTGGGTTTTCATGCTTGAGTCTGTGGCAGTCAGCCGTACACTGAGCTGTCTCTGGTGCCCCAGAGGCCGGCCTGCCTGCAAGGCCCACGTCAGCTCTCCTCCATCTTTCCTCAGACTTATAGTTTACTCCTGGACGTGGAGGATTACGAAAGGCGGTATCTCCTGAGTCTTGAAGAGGAGCGACCTGCCCTGGTGGATGAAAGAAAGCACAAGATCTGTGGCATGTACGACAACCTACGGGGCACACTGCCCGGCCGAGATAGGTGAGCAGCGTGCACACACATGGGTGCCCTTTCCAGCTTCTCTGCCGGACTGAGTTTACTCCTGCCTTTCCATGATTTCTAAGCTCACAGTGTGGCTTTTTGATCAAACTCAAACCCTTTATCCTGAATTTATTCAACAAATGCAGTGTCTTCTAGGGATTGTGCTGGGTACCAGAGATTCATTAAGGAGGTCGATAGATTTGTTTAGGGGGCTGTCAGATTGTATCTGATTTATGATTACGAGTATGTTCAAACTTATAGTCCTTTTCTGTTGCTTTTTGAGACAAGGCCTCATTTTGTAGTTTAGACTGGCCTTGAACTTTTGCTGATCTTCGTACCTCGGCCTCCCAAGTGCTAGGATGACAGGCGTGCTCCACCACGACTGGCCCTCAACCTAGTAATGTTCATCTGTCTGCTCTCCTACTAAGATGAAGACTATAAACATTTCTGTGTCCTTGGAATTTCCGTAAAATGTGTGGGTCATGGAAACCAGTCAGTTTTCCAGTAGAGACAATGGCCTTTTAAGATTTTGTGTGTTGGGGCTGGGGATTTAGCTCAGTAGCATAAGCGCCTGCCTTGCAAGCAGGCAGTCGTGAGTTCGATCCCCGGTACCGATAAAAAGGAAAAAGAAAAAAAAAAGATTTTGTGTGTTTATAGTTTCTCTTCTACTCATTATTTCGGACAGAATCCCCAAATATTTTATGAATGCAGGAGGGCTACATTGTGTAAAAAGTCTTTTTCTTTACCTTGTCACAAGAACTATTGATTCTTCCGAGCTTCCATGCAAAACAACATAGCAGCAAGCACTTTCCTTTCTACAGGTGTTCACAGAGAAGGCCTGAGGGGAGGAAGTCTGTCCGCAGGTTAATACATTGTGCAGCCTTTAAATGCATGTGACACAGAAAAGTCTTTACAAAAGTGAGAAAAACAGCAAGTCACAGAGCCCTGAGAACTTTGTGGACTCCTTGTGTTATGAAAGAAAAATATGTATAGACAGCAAAAATCTCTTCAAAATTAACTCTCAGGTTGGGGTAGGAATGTTCACATCATACTTCGCTTATATATTTTCACATCTGATTCTGTTAACCATGTAGTATTTTTGTATATCACTTAAAAGTTAGCCATGGAAATAATGTACACGATGGTTGGAGCAGGTGTATGTAGTGTCTGAGTGGTGAAATGACGGTTATCTGTATTGGTGAAACTTGTGGTTCGGTGCTTTACGGTTGGCCCAATGCTGGAGCAGCTGCACTCACTCTCTGGAAGCACAGGCTGTGGAAGCAAGAAGAGCAGTGCTGCATGGCATTCTGCAGCTTATCCGGGAAGGCCAAGGGCTCCCCTGGCTCTGCATGACCTGAGTGTGTGTTTTTGTTCCCTTGCAGGCCGAGTGATGACCACTTCGTTCAGATCATGTGCATCCGAAAAGGGAAGAGAATGGTTGCCCGCATTCTCCCTTTCCTCTCCACAGAGCAGGCGGCCGACATTCTCATGACAACCGCGAGGAACCTGCCTTTCCTCATCAAGAAGGATGCACAGGATGAGGTGATCATCCAGGGACACTCTCCTCCTAGTTCTCTCTATGGCTGATAAGGTTTCAAGAACCCAAACTACTACTGTTCCTGCCTGTGTCTTGCCTTATCTAAATGGCAGCCACAGAATTTGACTAAAGCAAAAATCTTAAAACTTGAGGACTGTATTTTAGTCCCATTTCTGATAGACTGTGTCCCTAAACATAGGGAAACAAACAGTGCCACCCTGCTTACCACAGTTGTAGAGATATAATCTGCTACGAGAATCGCTTGGGAAGTAAAATAACTTGGCATTCCCCCAAAATGCTGAGTCAGAGTGCAGAGACAATAAATCAGGGCTTTTGTGTTTCTGACAAGGTCTGCAGTTGAATCAGGCACTTGTCTCAGTTCCCTCGTGGATATAAAGCATCATTCACTGGGCCTTTGTTAGCAGTTTAACATTAGCCTGTAGCCTGAGTTGACAGGTGTCCATAGGCCATTGTTAAGTCAGTTTATGGTTTAAACCAGTCCGACATTTGAAATAATGACTGTCATCAAGTTCACAGATGGCTGATGGATTAGAATTTCTCTCCGCTTATCTCTTGAAAAACTAGCAAATTTTGCAATACTTGTAGGAGGTTCAAAACAAGAAATAGATAAAAGTAGGGGAAAGAACAAATACTAAGTGAGAGATTGACAGTAATAAAATATATGAGTATATTGTGTACTACAAGTTGAGTAATAACTAGGTGGAAAACCAAGATGCCAGGATTCCTGATAGGACCATGAAAAAGTTGGAAATGACTCCTTTTGTAGACCCTTGGGAAAAAATTCTTTTTGACTCTTGAAATTTTAGCATGCAGAAAACTTAAGTTTAGGCTTCATCATTAGAAAACGGGAAGAGGGATGAGACTAGTGTATTTTTAAAAGTTTCCTAGAGTGAAAAACAGGTCAAAGGAACTCTGACAAGTTGAGGTCTATCCTAGAAAACAGAAGACCAGATTGAAAAGTTACAGCAATTTTAGAGCAGATATGTGTGGAATACAGTACTTAGTACTAGGCATTAGTTTATGACTTAGAATTCACCCCCTTGTTCTGGTTGCTAAAAGCTAGGAAACAAAAATGCCTGCCTTTCTAGCGCTTATCTGCCAGTGAGTACTACGTGGTTAAATACAGAGCCTGCATTTGTAACCATCATGCATTAAAGAAAGTAGAAGTGTCTTTGAAAACCATTTTCGGGCCGAGGATTTAGCTCAGCAGCATAAGCACCTGCCTTGCAAGCATAAGGTCGTGAGTTTGATCCCTGGTACCAAAAAAGAAAACCATTTTCTGCCAACAGCAGTTGGTCCCAGGCCTGAGGCCTGAAGGATACAGGATCACCCTGGAATAGCTCATGTCAGAAGCAAGTAAAGTGGCGAAGCTGGAGGCAGACAGCCGTGATCCCTGCACTCTGGAAGCAGAGACCATGGTCCTTCATGTTCGAGGCCAGCTTGGACTGCAGAGTGAGAACCTGTCTCAAAAAGCAAATGAGAAAAAAAGCAAGCAATTAAAGTGATAAATTACTACTTAGGTCCTGCGGGTGCCCAAATAAAAGGTGTTTAAATCTGACCAGGCTCCTGTTAACCGCAAGTAGGATGATTTACATCAAGAAAAAGAATTACAGCAGTGGGCTGAAGGAAATGTATGTAGTTTTACAAATTCATAGTTATACCAAACATGTTCCTCACCTTTGCGATTGCTCAGCCATCACCTCGTCCTGAAAGCCGGTAAATAAAGGATCAGCGTTTGCCCTGCCTTTCTATCACAAGCAGTGGTGTGGGTACCGACAGTTGGTCATACAAGGTTCTTGATAGAAGAATTTCAGCTAATAAACTAAACAAAAACAGAAAATGACCATTTTGCAAGCCTTCATAGATGAGGGATCTGGACAGTGGGCACTCCTGGGCGGGAAACAGAGGGCATGTTGTAGGTGGCTGGAACAGGCTGAGCCCTGAGCCCTCTGACCAGTGTGTGATGTGAAGGGAGACAGCATACAGCTCTAGGCCCCACCCAACCCCACCTCAGCCCAGGTAGCCACAGACGGCAGGGCTTGGTAACCAGAAACCACAGTGGCATAGCCATCCAGATCCAAATCTGGGACCTGTGGCCATCGCATTTGCAGTGAGCGGTGTAACGGGAGCTGCACAATCAGGGACTGGAGACCTCTTGGGCTTCTAAAGTGCAATCTGCAACAGATGGGTTGATCTCATTTACTCAGAACCAACCAGCTGCTGAAAGATGTGTTTGAGACATTAAAAAGATCAGAAATCATCAGAGTGGCATTGGCAGCTAAGAAGTTACTGCGGGTTTTCTTAGGTGCAGCAGTGCAAGCAATTCTGTTACAGATGCAGACCGGAGTGATCCAGATCAGACTGGAGTCATCTGAATGGACTATAGCTGCTGTGTAGTGCTGCATTGGGGAGGGTGTGGGTCACTGGTTGGGGTTGGCATAGCTGACGGTCATGCTGTCAAATATCACAGCACACTCGCCTGGAGTGGAAAGCCACTTTGTTTATGGTACTGGTGCCGAGCAAACCAGCCACTCCTGGTTTCCCGCATGTGGTGAACCTGGTTACAGCAGTGCCGCTGCTCAGACTTCCTGCTCTGGGCCGGCTGATGCTGAGGCCTAAGCAGCAGCAGCCTGAAGATCAGCATCCTGGGATCTGCTATGAGCCACCCACTATGTAGTGCTGCTTCACTGGAAGGGTGTCCCTAATTGCTGTTAATCACTGCTGTACTCTGCAGTGCTCTGGGCTCAATTTAGGCTGCTGATTTGGGGGACTGAAGTCCCTGGTTCCCACCCTGCCCCACAGCCCATAGGCACCTGAAGCTCCATGGAGCAGGCAAGAGCCTCAGAGCTGTGGGCACAGAGGGAACCAGGAGGGCCTCTGGGCTAAGGTCCTGGGATGGGCAGCTCTGGGGTCACACTCCGTCTCTCGTCTGCAGGTCTTGCCGTGCTTACTGAGTCCCTTCTCTGTCCTCCTCTACCACCTGCCCTCTGTGACTGTCACGAGCCTTCTGCAGCAGCTGATGAACCTACCTCAGAGTGCAGCCGCGCCAGCGCCCTGCAACCCTCACCTCACCGCTGTGCTCCAGAACAAGGTGCTCTGGCCCCCCCAGCCGACTGTCTACCATCTCCTCGTGATCTAGGCAGGAGTCACACGCATCCCCTGCCACGCAAGTCAAGTGGCCACATGGCCATCACAGTTGGTCCTGGACCTGGACGGCTGCTGGCTTCTAAGCCACGGGCTATGTCAAAAGTGGCTGGCTGTGCTCTGTGCAGCCTTTGCCACTGGTGTCTTCTCAGCTCCTAGTGTCATTGTGGGGCTTGGCCTCTGGAGCACAGCCAGACACAGGCTCATGGAGCCATCTCCACTGTCATGACTGTCACCATGGCTGGAGTCAATTTGGGCAGGGCAGGGCAGGGCAGGGCAGGGCAGTCCGCATTGGGACAAGCTCTGCAGAGCCCAGAGGAAGCAGAGTCTGGAGGAGATGCCAGAGGACACCACCTGGGTCACAGTCCTAGATGAGTTTTCCCACCACACTGTGCCGGCTTCCTGTCCTGTGACACGGGGCCAGCTGGGTACAGTGACCAGGCGGTGGCCAAGTCAGCTCCTAGGCACTCAGCTGCAGCATAGAGGGTCACATCAGGGTCACTTCGTCCTTGGCACTAGAAGCCCCGAAGCTTGTCTGAGACGCAGTGCCACACCTGGGGGCAGAGATGGGAGCTGCTGGTGCTCAGTCTATTCATCTCAGCAGAGGGGGTAGAAAACTATGAGGTCAGACAAGATTGCGCTGCCCGGTACTTATTTAAATCTGCAGGGAAGCCAGGGATTTAGCTCAACGCTGTTAAGGGCCTGCTTGGCAAACGAGGTCGTGAGTTCGATCCCTGGCACCAAAAAAATAATAATAACCTGCAGGGAAGCTTAGCATGGTGGCGCACTCCTGTCATCCCAGCACTTGGGAGGCTGAGGCAGGAGGATCACTGCAAATTCGAGACCAGACTGGACTATAGAGTGGGCCTGAGCCTGTCAAAGAAAAATACAAAAAAATCTGCAGAGAACAGATAAGTATGTGTGGCACGTGATGTGCTCATAGGAAAGCACTGCCCCTACAGGCACATTCAGGTCCTTTTCACTTCCCGTTCTCCCAGTCTCCCATCTTCTCTGGTCTTATGTTCCCTTCCCATCTCCACAGAGACTCCTTTCTGCTTCCTGTTTTTTGTTTTTTTTGTGTGTGGGGGGGAGGGATATATTTCTAATTTTATTAGTAGCTGTTTGCAGTACGTGAAGTATACATTCACCTTGGGAACTTAGATACATGTATATCATGCAGCTTTTTACTTTTTAAAAATGCCTTCCCCTTCCCCTGCCTCCTTCCCTCTCTCTGGATTCCTTTGCTCATGTTTGTTTTTGTTATTATTCTTAGCTCATGCACTCTTTTCTGAAACTAAGATCTGTCCTTGCCTTCCCTGCCTTTCCGAGTAGGCACCAAGTAGGAGGATAGCAATGGCAGGTGAGGCAAAGACAGGCTGGCGGGCTGGCATGTTCAGTCTCTGGTTTACAAAGCTGATTATTTTCCACGTAAGTCTTTCTGCTTCCTGTCTTATAGTTTGCTTCTTATTTATATCTTGGGTTTCTCATATGAGAGAAATCAGGGAATATTTAACCTTTGTCTGATTTATTTCATTTAGCATCATGATCTCAGGATCCATTTTCCTATAAATGCCTCACATTCTTTAGGGCTGAGAGTATTGTGTATGAGTATATTTTCTTTATCCCTTCATCTGTTGCTAGGCACATAGGCCACCTCATGACTTAGTTCTTGAGCACTGTGCTGCTATAGACATTGTGTACATGTCACTGAAACAGGATCCCTGTAACTCAGAGTTACTCCCATGGAGGGGGAGTAACTGGGTAGAGGGGAATTTATAGTTGTAGCTTTTTGAGGAGTCTCCATGATGGTTTCCATGGCAGTTGTACCAGTTTACACTCCACGAACCCTGGAAACGCAAAGAGTTTCCTCTCCAGCCTTGCTGTGCCTGTTGTTTTGGTGTCTGGATGAAGTGAAAGGAATCTTGGGGTGGTTCTAATTTGCTGAGTGCTTTCCGAGCATGCTGGCCAGTATCCTCCTGAGCGGTGTCTGTTCACCTCAGCCACCCATTTCTTGATGGGCTCTTACATTGGGGTGAGATCTTCATGTGTTCTGCATATTAGTGCTGTGTCCAAGGAGTGGCTGGCGGGGGTATTTCAAATCCATGCCATAAGGATCTGTGCAGTCTGCCAGCTGTTTCCTGTGCCATGCAGGGGGTTTTTCCTTGGAGTACTTTGGGTTGTTGACGGCTAGAGTTCTGTTCCAGGAACCCTCACCTGCGCTTTCAGCCTCATGAGGCTTATCTTTTGGCAGAATCAGTGTTTTTTGTGTTTATATTCAGGTCTTTGTTCCAGTTTGACTTTCTTGTAGCAGGTAAGAGCTTTGGTCTGGATTCATTCTTCTGCGTGTGGGCGGCTAGTTTCCCAGCTCTCAGTTTTTTGACAAGCAGGTGCTTTGGCCCCTTGGTCAGTGAGCAGGTGGTGGGCGTGCCCAGGGCTGCTTCCACGTCCTCTGCTTGGTCGAGGATCTGCGTGGCTGTTTTTGTCATGAAGATCTATAATAGAACTAGAGGTCCAGGCTTATGATGCCTTCTGCTTTGCTCCTGTCACTCAGGATTGCTCTTGCCGTTCCAGGCCTCTCCCTTCGCAACTTGTTTTCTTTGGAAATGCTGTTGGTCTTCTGATTTGGATGGCATGAAATCTGCGTATCATGTTTGGCATTAAGGTCATTTTGACTGTACTGGTTCTGCCTATCCAAGTAAGGCTGAGTCTTTCTGCTTTCAGATGTTATCTTCAGTTTTTTTTCTTTTTCATCTGCATCTCATTCATTGTGGAGGTTTTGTTTTGTTTTGTTTTGTTTTTTTGTCTTTTTCATCGGTACTGGGGATCGAACTCACTACTGCCTGCTTTCAAGGCTGGTGCTTATGCCGCTGAGCTAAACCCCCAGCCCCTATTGTAGAGGTCTTTTACTTCCTTGATTAAATTCATCTCAGCATGTAGTTTTTTGAAACTGTTTTGAATGAAATTTTTCTCACTTCCTCAGAAGGTTAATTATTACAGAAACACTATTGATTATGTAGTTTTTGTCTGTTCATGTGATGTATTATGTTTATTAATTAACAGTTGTTAAACCATCCTGGCATCTCTGAAGTGAAGCCAGCTTAGTCAGAATGAATGATCTTTTTTATGATTTGCTGGTTTCTGTTTGTCATTCTCTTGTGGATGATTTTTGCATGTCTGTTTTTTTTGAGAGATTGACGTGTAGTTTTCTTTGTTGTTGAATCTTGTTGGTTTTGTTACCAGGTGTTGCTGGCTTGCAGAATAAGTGTGACAGTGCCCCTTCCCTTTCAGCTCCAGAGAAGAGTTTGGCAAACACTGGTGCCATGTCTTCCCTAAGTTCTGGTAGAAATTCCATTAGGCCCAGGGCTTTGCTTAGTTAGGAAGGTTTTTATTACTGCCTCTGTCTCATATGGCAGTGATCTAGGAAGGGTTTCTCTATTTTCGTGGCTCAGTTTTGGCAATTCATATATATCTAGGAATTTCTGTTTCTTCTAGGTTCTCCAGTTTATTGGAATGTAAGTTTTCAAAATAGTTTCCTACAGTTTCCTCTGAATTTGAGTGGTGTCTGTTGTGATTTTGCCCTTTTTTATTTTCTAATTACACTGATGCTGAGATTCTTGAAAGGAAATTCTGAGGAAAGGCAAAGCTGTCCTTGGGGAGGTAAACTGAGGAACGTGCTTAGAACCCCAAATGCTGCCAGCTGCCTGTGGAGTTGTGATCTCCTGTGTTGAACCTGTCACTGCTTGTCTCTGTATGTTTTCATTCTGCACGCTTGAGATTGCTGTCAGTACCCACTGAACAACACATGTGTTCATGGTTTTTGGTTTTTTTTTTTTTTTTTTTTTTGTCTTTTTACTTTTTATCAGTACCGGGGATCAAACTCACGACTGCCTGCTTGCAAGGCAAGTGCTTATGCCACTGAGCTAAATCCCCAGCCCTATGTTCATGTATTTGCATCTCTGTGTCACACTGCTGAATTTTAATCATCATAGATAACGTGTTTGGATCTGTTCACTCTCCCTCTCTTTTCATTTCTTAGGCTCCTATTAACCTCTCCTCCTGAGCCTCTATATCTCCACTCAAGTAACCCTTTTAAGGAAATTTTCCCTTTACATCCTGCTCTGATTTTTTCTTTTGCCTTTCTTGGTATATATCATAGTGTTTTTTGTTTTGTTTTGGTATTTTGGGGGCGTTTTGTTGCTGTTGTTTGTTTGTTCTTGTTGATGTTACTGTTTCATCTTTTTGAGACCAGGCCTCACTGTGCATTTCAGGCTGGCCTTGAGCTCACTTTGTTGCCCATGCTGGTCTCAAACTGGAAATGATCCTCCTGCCTCAGCCTCCCAAGTACTGGGATTATAGGTGTGCACCACCACACCCAGCTTTCCTAAAGTGTTAACTTCTCTTTTTCTATATTCTCAGTATCTTTCTCATTGAATGTTTTTTACCATGAACGCTTTATTGACCTTCTGTTTTTTCAGTTTGGTTCTCAGTGGGGGGAAAAAGTTCCACATTCTCCTGGGGGCAGGGTGGAGTGGGTACTGGGCAAAGCCCCCTGGCTTCACCCAGCTCGGAGCCAGAGTCAGGAGAGGTACTGAGTTGGCCTTCTGTCTCTGCAGTTCGGCCTTTCACTGCTGCTCACACTGCTGAGCCGTGGGGAAGACCTGCAACGCACAGAGCCGGCAGCAGAGCCTGCACAGAATGACCAGTGGTGAGTATAGCCACCTTCCCCACAGCCTTCCACAGCCACCACTGCTGTGGCTCTTCTCACTGTCACTCGGCCTCCCATAGGACGGAGGTGATGTTCATGGCCACCAGAGAGCTTCTGCGGATCCCCCAGACAGCCCTGGCTAAGCCCGTCTCCATCCCCACAAACCTTGTGTCCCTCTTTGCTCGCTACGTTGACCAGCAGAAGCTGAACTTGCTGGAGACGAAACTGCAGTAGGTGCCTTCGCTGGGGCAGGAGGGGCTGGGGTGTTGGGCTGCGCGCGGAGCGGAGGTGAAGCTGAGTGTCTTCTGAGCACTGGGTGATGCAGAGACGGTGTCCTTATGAGGACGAGGATGTGACTTTGAGGGGAAGGCTTCACTGTCTTACTCGGGTGGCACAAACCCACTGCTTTGTGTCTCCGCCCCAGGCTGGTCCAGGGGATCCGATGAGGGCTCCACAGGGTCCTTACTCCTGATACTGCGCCTGCGCTGCTCATCGCTGGGAGCATTGCTGAGAGGAGGCAGCAGCCATGCCCAGGGCAGGCCGGTGCAGGGCGGCGGGGTCTCCTGCTGGTCTCACTGGTGCCAGTGCCAGTGCCGTCCGCCTTCCGTTCTGCATGTCCTCCTCTCACTCAGCTCTTCACAGCTGTTTCCTTCACCCTAGAGCTACCAAGGTAATACCTCACTTGGCCACCACACTACACTGCCCACAGCAGGTCTACCCTCATCCTGCTGCGGACTGTAGTCCTTGTCCCTCATTAGGGTGACGTTTAGGAGAACCAATTGAGTAGAACTCGGGATAGATTCCCATGCACCCGCATTGCCAGAGGCCCTGCCAAGTGAGTCTTAGGTGGACAGCTGCGTCCAGACACTTACCTCCTCCAACACAACCAGCAGCTGGCCTCAGCCTCGTACAGGGTCCGCAGCACTTTGAATGAAATCCAGGTCCCCCCTGGTGGTGTGGTGCCAGGAGGCTTAGGGTCCTCCCCTCCCATCTGCGTCTCTGCCTCCAACTCCCAAGCCAGTGAAGGTCGTACTCAGTGAAGCCTCCTGTGCTCCAGTGACAGCAGCCTCCCTGGTCCCCCAGGTGGGCCTTGACACACAGGGTGCTGTCCCCCAAACCAAGCCTGATGTGCCCGGTCCAGGAGGTGGGGACAGTGGCCGTGCCTGTCACTTGTCCTCCCCGGGGCAGCATCGGGGATGGGAACTGAGAATCCTGCTGGCTGTCCTGACCTGCATCCTGCTGCCCTCGCCTTCCGGATGTGGTCCGGTTGGCCGCCCGGCTCCAGGAGGGGCCGTTTTGCACGTCCCAGGTCCTGGTGCCATCCTACAGTGAGCCCCAACCTGGCCGCCTTCCTTGGCCTCAGCCTGCCTGCGGCCCAGCTCCACCAGCGTCCAAGCGGTCACCCGGGCCCTGCCATCAGCTACTGACTCTCTCTCCACATCCCCCTTCCATCCCCTCCCCTTACAGCGATCAAGTGAATACTTGGTTGTTACTTTTTCCTTACTGTGCTTTATCTTGTTTGGTTCTAATTAATAAAAATAAAGGTTTCTAAATTTACATTTTTATAGGGTATTGTAAATAAAAACAAATTGTATAATTGAAGGATGCGTGTGCCTGAGTGTGTTCCTGCTGTTCCTGAACTGGCTTCACATGTGCTGTACCCCGCAGGCCTCCTGATGTGGGACTGGTGAGTGTGCTAATGCCTTGCTTCTTTGTGGTATATTTCAGATGCTTGTATATGCTCAAGGAACAAAGGTAAGCCAACAGGTAGAGAAAGGCAGAAAATAGACAAGAGTTCTGGTAACTCTGGACATTGTTTGCATAATGCACACTTTTTTCCAATGGAAAAACAAGCTTTAAACAGCCAGCCTAGGTGACAGCAGGCCAAGAGCAGGTGACTCCACGGTGGACACTGCTCAGGGGTGAGGAAACTACCTTTAGCAGGGCACACCTGGGATCCCAGCCCTTGGGAGGCCAAGGCAAGGAAATTTGCAAGCTTGAGTCCAGCCCTGGCAACTTAGCAAGACCCTGACTCAAAAGTGCCCAAACATGAAGTCCCTGGGCTCTGAGAGGAGCATATCTCAGTGAGCCAACAGGAGCTCCCCTGCTCTGCCTGCAGGCAATCGTGCTCCATTTCTAGGTACTTTTAACGTCCCCTTGTTAAGACTTTGTAACAAGGATAGTAGCTCCCTGCTGAACAGGAGTCAAATATCACATGGAGATGGCAGCTTGATAGGTAGTGGGGTAGAGACAGTCTGAGAAAACTCAGATACTAGAATTTAACAGCATGGAGAAGGCCAGACGAAAGGAGAGGGATTCTCACAACCCAGGAAAAAACGGGGAACAAAAAAAAGGAAAAATGTGGATGAAAAGCTAGAACCAGATGTGCTCACTACAACTGGTCAGTACTGTGCTGGGTGCACCTTGGAGTTGGATGATTCACAGTCACACTGAAGCTGCAGTCGCCGAAATCAGGAGTTGATGAGCCCCAGGGCCCTTTTCCAGACGAAGCACAGTGTAGAGTGTAGCTAAGGTGGAGAGCTGCATTAATTCACGGTAAGTGTGGAAATAGGGTCCCGAAGTGGGTGTGAAGGACAGATTGGAGTTGGGCACAATGGGCCTGCACCAGGAACCGCAGTGGCATCAGTCAGCCGCCCCTAGCCCAGAGAGGACTGGTGGGACCTGCTTGGGCTGGTTTACACCCCTGGTTGGGACCCAATAGGGATGAGACTGTCTTGAAACTGTGATGTCCACACAGCACACACTAATGTGCTGAAGGCACTTGCTACGGCTCAGAGAAAAGGGGCTAGCTCACATTATCCCTGTGTGTACCTCAGATAACAGTAAACTGTGGCAGCAAGCCCCTAGCCAGCGTGCTGTAAACCGTAAGCAATATGGAGAGGGCCTGAGACCTCCACCATATGCCTGTCTGAAAGAAACCCAAAACATGACGAGAAAGAAGAAAAAGCCTCCATCTGCTGACCCTGGGAAAATAAGTCCAGACGAGGTAAATACAGAAGAGATTCAGGGCAGCAATCATGCAATATTGGCCACAGCATCAGTGGACATAAAGAGATACCTTCATGACCTCATAGACAAAACTGAAATTCTAACCCAAGTGAGGCAAGATATAAAAAGATTAATAAATGCTAAGCCCCTCTCAAGAAGACACATGGAAGAATGGAAGAACCCAGTAAAAGAAGAGAAATCTTTGGTGAAGAAGATAAAATCTTGAATACATGAAACAAATCCAAAAAGATTACCAGGAAATTAAAAATTCCATTCAAAGCTGGCAAAATGCCTTGACAGAAACTAAAGTTAGACTTTCAGAATTGGAAGATAGATTTGTAATGTGTGATCATGAAAGGAAAGACCTTAAAAATAGCAAGGAACCAGGAAGTAACAATACAAAGGCTAGAAAACAACAAAAGGATCTATAACTTAATAAAACATGAGCAAAGAAGCAGGAGTAAACACATGAATTACAGAGGTTATTCATAGAAATAAGGAAAACTTCCCAAGCACAGGAAAAGGAAATGATACCCAGATAAAAGAGGCATACAGGGCTGGGGATTTAGCTCAGCAGCATAAGTGCTTGCCTTGCAAGGGCATGGTCGTGAGTTCAATCCTTGGTACCAAAAAAAAAAAAAAAGCATACAGAACTCCAGCCAACTATAACCAAAACAGATCTACACCCAGACATACAATAATCAAGATCCCAGAAATTCACAAGAACAATATTAAAAGCAGTCAGAGAAAAGAAACATTACCTATAAAGGAAAAATCTATCAAAATCACAACAGACTTCTCAACACAAACTATCAAATCAAGAAGAGATTGGGGTGAAGTAGTCCAAGCCCTGAAAGAAAATAACCTCCAACCCTGATTGATGTGGCCTGCAAAACTCTCAAAATTAGTGGAGAAACAAGATGTTTCCATGACAAAGAAGAACTGTGGGTGTTCGTGACCACCAATCCAACCCTGCAATTACACTGAAGGACATTCTAGAGAGAGATAGAAAAAAATACCAGGATTCTAGCAACAGTGGCAGAGAGGCCTCAACGAATGGGGCAGACAGTGGAATGAAGGAGAAAAGTGGACAAATAGTAGCAGAAAAATAGAATAGCAGAGATGAGGAAGAGGTGAGCTATAATCTCTAATATAGATGGCCTTGATACACTAACAAAAAGAAACACAGGCAGAGTAGATCAGGAGATAGGATCCATCGAGATGCTCAGAATGGGAATAATACTCAACCTGAAAGGGGGTTAATAAGCCAAAAGTCAAAGATGAGAAAATGATGCTTTATGTGACAGGGAACCAGAGAGAAATAGGGACAACTCGTCCAGCAGCTGCAGATAGGTTGGAAAGTCATGCAACTTGTGCAATGGAGAACTACTCAGCTATAATGAAGGAAAACCTTGAAGGTTTAGTAAATAAATACAGCTCAGGATCAAGCTCGGGGGTAAAAGGTTCAGTGCCACTCAGATAAATAAAAGGTTGCCCCCCTAATTTAAAAACTAAAAGGAGTTAGTGCGACTCACAATATACAAAGCACTGTGAGAAAGGGAAAGGGGAGGAATTGTCTAAAAAAGGAAGGCAGAGGATATTGTTAATAGTGTAACAGGATTTAAAAGCCACATTTATCTCTCTGTTTCATTTGATTTTATTCTGTTCCAGTCTGTCTACTCATACTAGATTTGAGAGCACAGAAAGCTATCCCAAAAATAGCAGGTTATACCATGGTAACTGTGCTTAATTTCCTATTAACTTAAACTGAAGCCCTGTATTACTTACATTGTCTTACTATGACTGATCTTATTTAAAGCTGTTTTGTTAGACTGCTTTTTTGCCTTGACTGATTTTACTTGAATTTGGTATGCTTGATAGTATCAAGTCTAAGAGTAGAGGCAACTACTCTGAAGATGACAAGATGCAATAAGATACCCATTCCGGTTTGATTATTAACTGCTTTTGAGGTCCTACAATGTCTCCAAAGTTGTGTTTTTATTAAAATTGCTATGTAATACTGTGTTGAATTATGCCTGATGATGTGGACAATTCTATTGAAAATAACAAGAGACAGCATAGTAACTACTGTAGGTCACCTAGTATTGTGGTTTTTTTTTTTTTTTTTTTTTTAATTTTTTTTGTCTTTTTCTTTTTTATCGGTACCAGGGATCGAACTCACGACTGCCTGCTTGCAAGGCAGGCGCTTATGCCGCTGAGCTAAATCCCCAGCCCGCAGTATTGTGATTTTATGTATCTTTTTCATTTCATGTTTTTCTGGGAATTTGTTTTCTTGTCTTGTTTTGATCTGTTTTTCCCTATAATACAGAAAGGATAGATATACATGTAGAGATTCACACATGTGTAGAATATGTTCTAAACAGTTTATGGGAACAATTATACAATGCATGATGTAATGAACAGATACTCTGAAGAAGAAGAGACACTAAGATACCCAGTGCTAATTTGATAGCATTATGTATATATGATATAGCATTATGATATAAAATCTAACAATACTATTATTCACTGTTCAGAGTGATATTAAATCTAGTTTCTTACGTTTAATTTCAATATACGTAAAGATATGGACAGCTATTTTGAAGAGAATGAGAGACATTATGGCAGCCATTGTTGACTTCCCTATTGTATGGTCTTGAAGACCTAAAAAGCCTTCATCATCCTGTTCTGATTAGTTTAGTACTATATTGTTCAGTATGTATTCACTGTATGTGAAGCTGTGGACAACTATTGGAAGAAAACAAGAGACAATATGATAGACAGTGAACATCTCCAGTGGTCTTGCTTTGAAATTTGTGTTTCTTAAAATTGTTTCCTTATGATCTGTTTTGTTCTGTTTAATTTTACCCTCTTTAAAATAAAATTAAAAAGTCATCACATGGGTGTTGTTTAAAATCACAGCAGGCAGCTTAGTGAAGAACCAGCATGTGTGGCCTTCTTGGGTGAGAGGTAGACTGGTCAGTGACTGGCCACAGCAGATCTCATGGGTCATTAACAGAATGCAGTCAAGTTTAAAGCAATGCTAGTAAGAATTTGGGGCTGCCACCCACTGATAAAAATAAACATACTTTTCTGAAAAGTTCTATAGCAATGTAAAAACTTCCCATGGCCTTTGACTAATTAATTTGGCCTCAGGAATCTAAACAAACTACAAAGCAAAGGTATTTATGACAGAATGATGCAACATTCCATACCAATGATCCTGCCTTCTGGGAGGGGAAGGCAGGATGGTTGGAAGTTGAAAGCCCACCTGTGTCACTTTGCAAGTCAGGTTTCCATTGAGACTTGACAAAGGAACACTACAGGCTGCAGCCCCTCCAGGGGGAGATCCACACCATGTTGGAACTTAGGGTGCTGGGAAACCAAGCAACCAGCCTGCCTCCCTGCTAAGCAATAGTGAGCCTACTGGTGCACGGGCTGGGAGTCAAACATCCCACTTCCCCACACCCCCTTCCCCTGCCTCCTGTTAGCAAATGGGAACCAGAGATCTGAGCATCTCTTGAGAAGGTTGATCATAGCAAATAAGGGGGATTTCCTTTTACCACCTCTTTAAAGGCAAATATTTTTATTAC